ACGCTATGTGTGTTGCAATCTTATCATTTCGGAAAAAAACAGACCAAGGAAGGGGGTTCTATCATCTCAACACTTCTCATCTCAGGATGGATTGTTTTCTAGACTATCTTCGGGATGTTTGGAAGTTTTGGAGAGACCAAAGGGTACGTCTCAATGATGACATTATATGGTTCAACAACGGTCTTGCTTTTTTAGGCCGTAAATGCAATGAATATTCTAAATTATTGGCTAAACAGAGACATTCAAAGGAATCCAATCTTCACATGAAAATTCAGGAGTTGCAGTCAAAGGAAAGTAAGTTAGTTGAGCAGGAAGTTTTGGAATCAATTGCTGAGGAATTTCAGGGTCTAGAATCTCAGCTTCTCACTCAAATGGAATACAAATGACAATGACTAAGGATTAGGGGTAAACTCAAAGTCCAGAATATGGAAGGATCGATGGATGCTAGGTTTTTTGTTATGGCAAGGGCCAAAACAGGAAGATCTATCATCGAGGCATTAGCAGACCCGGACGACCCAAGTAAAGAGATGGTCATATCGACTGTTGCTTGCTCGAAAATAACTAGGGATTTTTTTTAAATCTCTTTTCACTTCTCATAATAGTCATATTTCTAGAGAGCAGCGGTTAATAGAAATAGAAGAATTTATTTTGCCGTTAGATCGATCTTTAACGGAGGAACAAAAAACATTAATGGAAAGGCCTCTGGATAAGGATGAAATTTGAAATGCTCTCTTACTAATGGATGAAGATAAGTCCCCAGGCATAGATGGACTCCCAAAGGAATTTTGGGAATCAACATGGGATTTTATATCAGAGGATCTAATGGATTATTATCAAGCGGTATGAGATTCGGGAGAGATGGGTGAATTTGTAGGTCAGGGAGTCCTCACTCTCTTGTATAAGAAAGGAGACAAGGCAAATATTAGGAACTATGCACCTATTACTCTTCTCACCGTGGTATATAAGCTTATAGCCAAGGCATTAGCAGATAGAGTGTCATCAATAATTCAAGAAATTATTCACCCATCCCAGACAGGATTTATAACAGGCAAGAATATTCAAGATAATATCCTTCTGGTAAATGAACTTCTTAAAATATCTCGTCAATCCAAACACAATGCGGCCTTTATATTTATTGATTTTGAAAAAGCATATGATCACGTGGATTGACTTTTTCTGGAAAAGTGTTTGGAGAAAAAGAATTTTGAACCTAACTTCAGAAGATGGGTAAGAATCCTGCATCAAAATGCCACTACAAGGGTCATGATCAATAGTAATGTGACCCCTCCCATTCCGCTAGAGAGATCTGTACGTCAAGGGGACCCGCTGGCTCCTTACCTCTCCGTCATTATTATGGAGGCTTTGACGGCTAACCTACGTCAACATAAAGATATTCGTCGCATACAGGTTACTAGCATTCCGGAGGAGGCAATTCCTATTTGCTCTCTTTTTGCAGATGATCTTTCCCTTATAATGGATGCTACGCAAGAAAATATGGCAGAGATTCAAAAGTTGATAGATAAGTTTTGTCGTCTATCAGACATGAAAGTCAACTGGGGAAGTAAAACAACGGGCTGGTGGATTCACCACCAAGGAGGAAGGCCCTCAAAAGTTCCTAGGATAAGGTGGTTGTCTCTGAATACTCTTATAAGAGTACTGGAAATTTCTCTACCTGCTGAAGGAAAACCAAAGAATCATAATGAATGGGTTTCTCAACCCGCTCAGGCAAAATGAAAATATGGAAAAATAAACATACTTCTATTTTTGGACGCTCGTTGATCATTAATAATGTCATTCTAGCATCTATTTGGTACAAGTCAGGGATTTGGGCTTTGGATAAAGATTTTCTCAAATCCCTCCAGAGGCAACTGACCGCTTTCTTATGGAGGGGTAATCATGAGTACAACAATGTCATCAGTAGGGTAGCCTGGCAGTCAATCATTCAACCAAAGTCGGGGGGAGGTTTGAGGATTCTTGATCATCTGACTCAAGCCAAGGCCCTTTCAATACAATGGTTTCAACATTTGTTATTCATCCCTCAGACTCCATGGGCACCTTTAGCCCTGGAACAAATTAAGAGATTAGCACCCCCTACGGCTGAAGGAATTGATCCGCTAACATGGTTGGAAAACCGTTCATGGACTCTTTCCAGGAGCAGCTCTAAGCCGATAACATCAACAACAACAGCAGTCTCAAACAGGGAAGCTGTTAGACAAGACTTGAAAAATGACCCATTTTGGGTCTCCTTGTTAAAAACATGGAGACAACTTCTTCTTACTGATAAATTATCACCAGAAAGGTGGGAGGAAGTGTGTCAACAACCTCTTTTTGACAACAGGTGGATTCGAGACTCTCAGGGTTATGTTCTCCATTGCATGCATTCTCCTTGGAAGGGTTGGGTTCAAAATGGCATCATGAGGATAAAGGACATATGGGACAAGGAGACCAAGGACTGCATTCTCCTTGGAAGGGTTGGGTTCAAAATTGCATGATTGGGTAGCACTCAAAGCTCATCCCCGAGAAATAGGTATAATCCTAGATCACAACCAGAATGGGGAATTTCTTTTACAAACATTTTTGTTATCATCATCAAACGTTGCAATACCAAAGGGACAAGAGGAAACTAGATGGGTTCAGTATCAACATATTTTTAGAATAAGGGTAATCAAAATTAAGGATTTTTGGGTAGCCTACAAACCTGATTGTACCATTTCAGAACTTTATTTTGATCCTGCTAATTGGGTATGGGGTTCGGTGTCGACGAAAGGAAGATATAACAAATCATTCAAGAGAAATTTCCATTCACTAAAAGTCAAATCAGCCTATAGTATGCTGCGACCCAAGTTTAATTTAAAAGACAAGGTCTCAACAAGGTGGATGGCACACCTCAATATTAGTAAGGAGGAGCCGAGATCAGTCCGTTGGTTCAAAACTGTTAAGGACAAACCATCAAAAATAGCTTCTCTACAATGGCAAATTGAACATAGGTGTCTCCCTACCAATGATTGGCTTATAGACAAATCATCTTTAGAACAGAAAGGATTAGCAGTACGATGGTGCAAACTTTGTAAATCTGCTTTCCCAAGTAGAATTTCTCTTGAAACACTATAACATATTTTTATGCAGTGTCCGGGTTCAATCTGGCTTTGGAGATGGTGGGATCGTATATGGTCACAACTAGTCCCACAGGTCAAATGGCCATGGGGGTGGAAAGCTATCCTCCTTGAGTCCTGGAGTACGAACCCAGATCTGGTTGAAAATAATGAAGAATTTGTGGATAATCTATTCCATATAGGGAGAAGAGCGGTAATATGGGCTATCAGGAGAAAGAGGTGCACTTATGAATGGGAAGGGGCTAGGTTAGATGGTCAGATTTCACAGATATTATCAAGCAACAAATTCAAACAGATATTTTGACAAAGTGGGATCAAATAAAACAAAGAAAAAGCTACGTTACCAGCTGTCCGATTGGGAGACGTCTCCGGGAGACGGTGGAGGGGTAGTTGTCCGAACAATCGGACAACAGGTTTTTTGCCATTAAAAAAAAAAAAAAAAAAAAAAAAAGTGGGGGGGGGTCTACGCACTCCCAGGGGAGCCCCCAAATTTTTTTGGGGCTATTTTGAGCAAAAACAGGAAAGAAAATAGAAACAGGCTTTTGTGATGACCCGCCAAAAGACGGACTGAGACACACAACTGATTTCTGAGTTTTGCTCGTGGAATGAATGCCTTACTGGGTTTCCCGCATGTTGCTGGGTTTGCTAAGTCTGTGTGTGTGCGTGTTTGCTGGTCTGCATGTCTGTCTGAGTGCTTGTGTGCTTGAGTGTGTGTGTGACCCTTAAGGGCACTTGTTCGTCCATTGGGCCCGTAGGGCCGGTACTTACCTGTGGCCGTGACATCGAGGGTTGCAGCAGGGAAAAACACTCGAGTGGGCGGGAAGAGGGCCGCAGTACGGTATGTGGTCATGGCGGCCTGAGCTGTAGCAGCCATAGCTGCTTTATGTTGTCCTTTGGACATCACGGTTGGGCATAGTAGTCCGCCATAGCCTCGGCCTATGCGAGTGAAGAGGAACGAGAGCCGACCATGGCTATGGAGGACCTCATGTGACACCAGCAGTCGAAGAGAGGACTTCGACATTGATTGTGGATCAGCCATTCAACATTGTTATTATTGTTTGTTGTTTGAATTGAGAAGGGGGAGATAAGGAGGAGGAGAGAGTTTGGCGAAGAAGAAGAGTTTTGTCATTTGTCAATGCTGGTGTACATCATCTTCTTCTTTCTTTCTTACTTTTTCTTCTTCTTCTTACCCTCTCACCTCTCTCAAGTTCGCAATTGAACGGCATGGTGCTATGTGATGAATGTGTACTTCGAACTTGGTCCCGGACATGAGACTTTGGGAAGTTTGGGTTGTGTGGGGAGGTGGAGTTGGGTGGTTGGGGGGTTCCAATGGAGAGGCCGCTGCTGCAGTCGACAACTTGAGCACGGCGCAGCAACTACCGTTGATGCAGCGGTTGCGGTACGTGCAGCAATTGCTGCTTGTATACCATCCGCTGCAGCAGATGCAGCAGGTGCAGTGGCATCGACATCCGCCGCAGCAAGTGCGGTGGCAGCGACATCGGCCGCAGCAGGTGCAGTCACAGCAACATCCGCCGCAGCAGGTGCTGCAGCTGGTACAAGTACTACACCCACTGCATTCCACCCACATACACACACACACACACACCTCATACAGACCATTTGAATTGATTGCCTGAATGATTGAAAGAGTGAGTGACCAAGCGACAGACTGACTGACTTACATACCGACTGACCGAGTAACTGACTCACTGGCATACACACAGAAACACACGCAGAAACACACACAGACACACACCACAAATGGCCGACTGACCGAGTAACTAACTCACTGGCATACACACAGAAACACACGCAGAAACACACACAGACACACACACAGACACACACAAACACCCACACACAACGACATTCACATTTGCTGAACACGGTTGCACATTGCTGTTGCGATTTCAAGCACGACAAACAAATGAGAGAGAAGCACGACCAATGCAGCATATATAGTTCAACTGTGAACATCAACAACGAACTGAATCTCTCTGTCTCTCTCTCTCTCTCTCTCTCTCTCTCTCTCTCTCTCTCTCTCTCTCTCTCTCTCTCTCTCTCTCTCTCTCTCTCTCTCTGTGCTGCCATGGCAGCAACCAACGATCCACAGCCACTCACACAAACGCACTTTGCAACCACCTGACTCCGAACACGTCCCCCATACTCCACCGCCCCCCACCCCCCAAAGACAAATGGACGCAGATGGACGGGCACTACCACAGTACATCCCACTAGTCCGCCATGTCGCCGGTGCCATCGGAGTTGTCGTCATCTCCTGCCTCATCCTCACCCCTCATACGTGTCTCCTCCTCATAGTCGTTGCCGGACATCTCATATGAGGTGTTGCCATCATCATTCTCATCAGGATCATCGTCCAGCACGCGAGTAGAGGTTTTCTGCATCTCTCTACTGCCTGCTCGAGATCTTGTACGGACACCTGCAAGAACACCAACTCCTGCAACAATCCCCTCCGCAACATCGCCAGTCTCTGACCTGCCGTGGCCTAGTGCACTCAGTGCCCATGACTGGTGTTGCTTGCCTCGGCCTTCGCCTGAGTCACGAGGCCGGCCACGACCTCGACGTGTAGGAGGTGGCTCCCCGCCTACATCATCCTCCCTTTGTCTCTTCTTCCTGCCAGCACAACTCGTCTTCACATTATCGCAGATAGCCAAAGACTGTTGTGCCGGAAGTGGGGGCATGCCCAGCGGACTGCGGTCGGGCATGGTAGCAGTCCTAGATGATGATGGCCGTAGTGACGTGGGTAGAGTAGAGCGCTCAATGGGCATGGAAGTGTGGGGTGAGTGGATGTCTGTAGGTGATGGCAATGGCGGTATGCCTGCTACACTGGTCAAGGGTGCGCGACTTGCCATTAACAAGTTGCGTCCCCCGCCCTGCATCGCCTTACTGGAGACGCTGTCGAGAGCTCCCCCACCTCCTCCAGATGCTTGCTCCTGAGCTGCCATGCGATGTGCTGGCGACATGCAATGTACACCAAGATCCACCCCCTGCGAGGATTGTGCGGCACGTGGGGGCAGCGAAGGAATCCCGTAGAATGAACCCTTAGTGAGTGTGATGTCTCGAGCACGGCTCTCCTGCGGGGGAACCCTACCCGTCTCCTCCCTCCTGTCCTCCGTCCTGTCCTTCGTCCTGTCCTCCGCCATCACAACGCCCTCATCTCGAACGACACTCTCGTCAATCTTGTCACTCACTCTCTCGCGTACAATGTCTGATCGCCCCTCATCCACTTGCTGCTCCACACTCACATCCACCCTAACTTCCACCCTCTGCTCCACCCTCTGCTCCACCCTCTGCTCCACCCTATGATCTGCAGCAAGGGGAGCACATGGATGTACCCTTTGGACCGCCCTCTGTTCCACTGTCGTGGCCAAACCTCCCCCCACCCGCTGTACTGCAGTCTGCACCGCCATACGGTCTGTGTTGTCACCCACCCTCTGATCAGCCCTGTGCCCCATCAATTCCTCTGCAACCACGTCCGCCCTCCGATCCACCGTCTGCACGACACTCTGTCTGATCCCCGAACGCTCTGAGAACTGCTCTCCCACCTGCTGCACCCCTCCCTGTGCTGTGCCCTGTGCTCCACTGCCTGATCTGCCCTCTCGTCCATGCTATCATTATGCCTCTGCCCTGCCCTGTGCACCGCAGCACGGTGTACTGCACCCTGTGAAGATCCGCCAGTCCTGCGCACGTCGACGACGCAAGCAGGGGAACCTAACGTGGCAGAATCATGTGGCTCCAGACCTTTGGAGTCGGCGACGGTCGGGCCTGCAATACGGGAGGACGAGGGCTGATTGCCGCATTGTGATGTTGTGGCGCCTGATGACCCTGTCTCTGCCACCAGTGGCTGTAAGGTCGAGGCAGGGATGTCGTCTTGGTGGCGCTTGATGTCCTCGTCTGCCCCCTCCGCATCGTCTGTCGCCAATAGGCCATCGACATCGACGTGGCCTCCCACCCTGCTCCGGAGGGTCCTCACTGCTTGGAAACTGCCATCAATGTACGAGTCGAGGTCTGTGTGAGGGTCCAATGTCGTCCACTTGTCGAAAATATCCTGCTGGTTTTCTGCAACCACCTTCCCTCTGCCCCGATCTGCCTGCGCCTGCTCCATCATCTCGCGGTGCATCCACACCGCATCCTGCCATGGGGGCATTGTATCTGCCAAACGATCGTCTGCCGATAAAGACGTGATCCGATTACGGCCGTCCTTGCGACGATTAACCTGATCCTGCAGTTCCCAGTCATCCTCGCCCACATCTGGGGGGATCACATCTGTATCGTCGATCTCCTCTGGGGGGTCCTCTGCCATATTCGCCCACACGTCGATATAACGACTCTCCGGCCGCCTGCTAGCACTGAGAAGCTGCATGTT